CTTTAAAATAAGAAGGTAAAATCCTGCCGCGCTCTGCAGCTCTTTCCCAAAGCCACAATAGCGGACTCGGTTGCAAACAATTTTTTGCCTGCCTCACCCCCCGTGCTGTTAGCCACTGAAGAAGGAGCTAGAATTTCACTTTGGCGAAGCAGCAGCAGCAGAATTGCTAACTATGTGCCCGTTATAGAAACTTTTTAGTACTGGGGACAAGCCAAGAAAAAAGCCCAGATTGACTCTCAGCTCTCAGCTGGTGCTCGCAGCGCTTCCACCTCGCAGGAGGAGCAGCACCGCTTTGCCTCTCGCATCGGTGGGACACAGGCTGGAGCCCTCGAGCCATCGCCCGGGAGAGCCGGGATGATGTTTCCCAGGATGCTGGGCACCCTGCCCACCCCGCTGCCCATCCAGGAACTCCTGCCCGGCTCTGGCGGATCCCTTTGGGTGTATTTACATTTTCTGGTTTGCAATTGCATAAAACTGAGTTCTCCCCTGGCCATCGCACCGGGGTGCAAGCTCCAGCCCAGGCGCTGCGTGCTCGGGATGTCTCACCTCATCCCATCTCTGCGCCGGAGGGACTGGCCAGCCTCGCTCTGCATCGTCTCGTGCCATCAGTCACCCTGAAATCCTTTGCAGCGAGATAATACGGGCTACTGCAATGCCGAGCTTTAGCTCTCGGGGAGGCGGAGGGCCTTTTGGCTCAGACACCGCCTTAATCTATCGATGCCCTGGTTTGCTTCTGCAGCAGCTCCCTACCTTGGTAAATTTGTTAGCAGCTGTAAAGGTCGTGGGTGGCAATAGGTCAGCTGGAAATCTCACCTGTCTCCTTGCGTGGCGAGGGGCTGGATGCTACCAGCAGTTTTTGCTATGAGCAGCGTAACAGCCCTTGCTCCGGGCAGGCGTGAATGAGGAGCAGTTCTGAGGGATGGATGAGCTGGGGAAGATCCAGATGGACTTTCCAAAATCAACCAAACCCACTTATACCCTGTGCCGGGAAGCGGGGTGCTGGGCTAAGGCTCTGCCTGGGGCTTTGCGCATCACCTGGGCTTTGTTCCTTAGTTTTGGGATTGAATTTCTAAGACGAGCGGGGCCAGCAACGCTGGGCACCGTCCTGCTTCACTTCACGGTCAGGAGAAAGCGCATTTCATGCCATTTTTCTCCATGCCCTGCAGCAGGCACACCGGCGGGACGGGGCTTTGCTCCGGCTCCATCCCCAGCCAAGCACGGGCATCCCTGGCAGGGCAGAGCCCCGCGGCCACCCCGGTGCTACCGAAAATGCCGGGGCGCTGCATGTGTGCTGCTTCCATGTGTGCTGGTTTCCAAGGAAACCGCTCGCTCTACATGTGTGTCGCTTAACACCCTATTTGCTTTCATTTGGATAAGTCTTTAATTCCTGTGCAGCCCCGGCTCCGCGGGATCTATTGAGCTGTGTGTGTATCCTCAGCGCACAAATCCCTCTCCTGCCTGCCTGCCTCTTCAAAAGTCCCTGCCTGCTTGGAGCAAGTTTCCTAAACCTGTGGCTAATCGGAGTAGCTGATGCTTTCTGCAGTAATAACTGGATATATCGCTGCTGCTTCCCTCTAGAAACAATTAGCAGGGAAAATATGACACGCAGCGCTGCTGTCATCTGCCACCAGCTCTGCTGCCTTGGCTCCGGTCCGGGTGTCGAAGCAGGGCAGGACGCCTGCGCCTGGGGACACGGGGTGCAAAGCTGGGGGGTAAAGCACCGGCTCCGGCTGCACCGCTGCCTCGTCGGGGAAGGCAGCAGCTCCTTGCAATGGTTAAATGCTAATTGCAAAGCACCGTGGTGAAAGGCATGGCTGGGGAGCAGGGAAGGGTGACCCTTGGAAGGGTGGCCCTTGCACGAGCCCAGCGGTGTCCCCATCGGCACAGCACTGGTGGGACGCACTGGGTCCCCGCTGGGTCCCCCGCACCAGCAGCTCCTCCATGCCCCGGGCTGAGCAGAAAAGGGTGACGAGGTGTTGGGGTTGCTTTGTGACCCCAAGTTTTCAGTCGTGGTAACCCAAAATGGCTTTTCCTTCCCTCTGCCCCTTCCTCCCTTCCCACGGCCCAGTAAGACGCCGCCCGTTCTTCTGCACTGGAGAACTGAGGAATCTTCTGATCGAAACCCACTTTCCTCCTCTCCAAAAATCCCCGGGGCTGGTTCATGCTTGTGAAGCTGAGCAGCTCCCGTGTCACTCCGGGCTGGCTCCTGTCTGGAGCCCTGACAGCAGCTAATGCTGTTAGCCTGTGTCGAGGAGGGATTTCAGCATTAAAAGAAAAACCCTAAAATCACCAACACTCGGGCTGCTCTGTTGCTTGCAAGCAGAACCAGCCAAAAACCACCTACCCTGTGTCTGGGGTACGCAGCACCGCTCGGGGCCGCCGGCCAGAGGGTTCGCCCGGCTTTCGGGGTGATTTTGCGGGGCTGGTGATTTTGCTGGCACGGGATGCGACGGCACCTAAGCAGCGGGAGATTAACTCAGGTCGTGGAGGGCTTTGCTATCTTTAGGTGGAAGGTGAGGGATTGTGCCTCTTAGGGTGGCCCGCAGGTAATGAGACAGAAAAATCCCTCGGTCCCAGCCCGGCTCGGGGCCGCTGACCCCAGCTCCCGTCCCCGCGGGGGTCTGGCCCCGCCGGCCCCCGGCCGCGTGCGCCGCCACCTTTCTAGGCCACAATCTGTACCGAATTGCGAGCCTGCTGTTAACTTCGCTTGCACTCTATTCTCGTGTTTGCTGTTATTTTTTGACACTTTTTTTTTCCTTTTTTTTTTTTTTTTTTTTTCAAAAAAAAACTACCCCCCCCCCCGCGCCCCCCCTGAG